ATATTTCACAGCTGGGATAGCAAAGGCACAGAAGATTGCATGGACGTACTGACAGTTCGTCATGGTAAGTGCCGGCATCGAGATGACTCTATGGGAGGGTATTATGTGCCATAGGAGAGATACATGAGGGGTTTACAGGAGCTCAGTGGCAGAGCACAGAGGGTGGTCCCATCATTCAAGCAGGTATGCTTTGTTCTCTTCCTGCCCTTTTTTGGTACAACCAGTAAAGTCAATAAAGCCCATTACAAAATATGTCAGAGTTGCAATAATAATAATAACTACTGTTTTTTTGAGAGTTTACAATGTGCCATTCTCAGTCTAAGCACCTCCATGTATTTATGCATTTCATCCTCATAGTCCTTTGAGACGAGTAATAGTATTATCACCATTTCCCAAATGAGAAAACAGGCTTAGAGCGGTTAAATAACTGTTTCTGCTAAGCTAGGAATGGCATCGATTCGCTGCCTGTAACAATGCATGGACTCTTCCTTTGTATTGACATCCTGTGTAACTATCTGCCACCTAACCGGACCATAGTGTTTCCTTGCAGGTAGAAGAACTGCATAAAGATTAAAATATTATATAAAACGTTGCTTTTGAAAACTAAGTTCCTTAACAAAAATGCATTGAGCATAGGCTACATATCAGACAGAGGGATCAGCCCTGCAGGTGTCACACATGATGAAGACATGGTCCCTGCTCTTAGAGATCACAGTCTTTCATGGGGGGACCAACATGACCCAAGAAATATAACAAAGTGTTATAGGGAAATGTGGCCATGTGAATACCCCGCCCCACAATGCTGAAGGAAATGTCCAAAGAAATCTGATAACAGAGAAACCCTTTATCACAACTGGGGTCTAGGGAAGTAAGGCACACTCGTGCACTCTGTGGGGAGGCCGTTTGCTAGATGGAATGCAGATAAAACTAGAGAGACTTCTGTAGTTGGAGTCACAGCTCTCTTCTAAGTACATGTGATACCCGAGGATTAAATAGGAGAAATCCTGGCGGGGCTCTGCTGTATCCTCCAAGTTGGGACTGAGCAGAGACAAAGAGAGAAAATGGGAGTGACAGGATTTATCATACTCAGACTTTTGAAATGCAGAGGTGAGGTAAATAAATTTGACAGACGCTGTCTCTCAGTGTACCCAGGGACCATGATGTCCAGGTAAATCCCACCAAGATGTGTTGGAGGGACAATGATGGAGGCAGAAGGAAGAAAGACTTCAAAGAGGAGGTAGGAATGGAGGAGGAACTTGAAAGGGGAGGAAGTGGTAGCGGGGTGGATGGAGGATGGAGTGAAATAGGAGGGCATTCCAGGGAGAGGGAGCAGCATTACATGACTAAAAGCCTAGAGCTATGACACAGCATGGCAGTCGGAGAAACGGCAGTAGTTCTGCCCAGTCCTGAGAAAGGTCATTTGAGCTGCAGCATGGAGCTCTGACTGGCAATGAGAGGTGCCTGGACTGCATAGAGAGACCCAGGATAAGCTGCTGCAATGAGCCAAACTGGGGAGGATGAAGAATGGAGCTAAAGCAACAGTGAGGCAGGGGAAGGAGGTGGGAAAGGAGAAAGCTCTTCACTTGTGGTACAGGAGGGAAAGGGTGACATTTGAACAGAGTGCTAAGCTGAAGGTCTTGGTACTAGTCACTGAGCTGGGAAAATAAAGGGCAGATTTGAAGTGGGGGAGGGGGGTGGGAAACAATGTGTTTCCTTGGGAGTGTCCCCAAGAGCTGTCCAGGAGAGACCTGAATGCGTTGTTTAACTGCTCAGATGAGAGGTCTGCAGAGGGACCCAGCCCCTGGGCTCAGGTACAGCCTGGCCAGTCAGTCTAACACCCTTGCTGTTAGTTGTAAAGGGTGCAACCACCCTGAATGGCAAGTAAACAGGTGATTTATGAAATTTATACTCACAGAAAAACTAGAGGAGGAGAGCCTGATAGCTCCTATTCCCCTGCATGTATTTTTGTACACAAACAATTCTCCTTTCTATTTTAGCACCTGGGGAAATCCCCTTCCTCTCTTACCATCAGTTCTCAGCACAAGAAGCCAGCTCACAAAAGCTTTCATGTTAGTTTCTTCCTTTTGGGTTTATTGCACATCTTCATGGCTCTTCAGCTACACACACACACACACACACACACACACACACACACACACACAGTGTGTGAATGTGTGCATGCACTCAAAAGGATGGTGGAAATTTACACTCCAAACCCTGCTGTATAAAACTGTATGATTCATGTTGTCTTTGCCAGTGTTAGGTAAGAGCATTTCCAAAATACTGTCTAATTAATAGGTAAAGAATATTATTGTTTTTGTCCTGACCAGATGGCTCAGTTGGCTGGAGCATTGTCCCATGCACTGAGGGGTTGTGGGCTCAATCCCTGGTCAGGGCACATACCTAGATTGTGGGTTCAATCCCTTGTTGGGGCATGTACAGGAGGCAACTGATTCATGTTTCTCTCTCACAACTATGTCTCTGTCTCTCTGTCTCTCTCTCTCTCTCTCTCTCTCTCTCCCTCTCTTTCTTATCAATACACATACCCTCAGTTAAGGATTTTTTAAATTATTACTGTTTTTTATATTTTAAATATTTTAATTCTTTTCATTATTATAGTTTAAATTAAACATTGAATACTAATATATATTTAAAGAAATGCATTACCAGATTCTAATGTTATTTTATTCTCAGCTATTTGCACTGAAATGCAAATTTTCAAAAGAGCTTACATACTGCAGAGTAATAGTTGGTTTTTTTTTTCATCTTTAAGGCTCTATTTCACTTTAGTAAATTGAGGAAGCTACTTTTGATTACTTCAGGATTTGAAATTAATATTTTATTATGTGAATTTGCAGTTTCCTAATGTATATTCTTTGTATTTTTCCATATAATCTCTGGATTTATAATCCATGCTTTGAAATGCCAAAAGCATATTTTTTATTTGGCTTTTAAATTGCATCATGGCAAAACTGACTTTTGTTTTTTGGTGTATAATTCTGTGGACTTAAGTTTAGACTTTTGTGAATACTACCACCATCAGACTACAGAACAGTTTGATCTTCCTAGAAACTTGCTCATGCTATCCCTTTAGAGCCATACCCAGCCCCCTACCCAAATGACTGATAACCACTGATATTTTTTCTCCATATCGTTTTGCCTTTTCAAGAACAATATATAAATGCAATTATATAGTATCTTGTTTTATTTTTCATTTCTTAAATTGCTCACAAGGCTGAATGCTTTTCCATACAATTAGTTGCGACTATGTTTTCTGTATTTTGTACAGTTTGTGTTATTACCACTTACTCATTTGGGTCATAGGTAGCATTTATACAAATTTGCATGTGCTTATTATGTTATAATGATGCTAACTCATTGTCTGTTGTACTTATGATCGATATTGCTCCTTTGAGGTCTTTGGCTTTATGTTTTATTATTTTCTTTAAATGTATAAGACCTTACAAAAAATACTATCATTCAATCTAGTAACAATCCAATACTCTAGTGATTTAGTCTGATGTAATATTCCTCATTTTTTTAAGTTGTAAAAAATGCTTATCACAGCATATTTCTAGTATGGAAAAGTTAGAAATAGTCTAAATGTGCTGTCCCTCAATGCAAAAATTAAAAGGATGCTAACAAAAATAATGTAGTAACACAGAGAATTTTTATGGCAAAATGTTAAATTAAAAAGCCAAATATAATGCCATACATACAAATAAGCAGGCAAAATAAAAAACACAAAACCTGTTAATTTTAAAAGACCATAAAAATACCTCAAAACAGTAAGAGCAGTTTACTTTTATTGGTGGAACTGTGAGGAGATGTTCCAATTTTGTGTGTTTTCTTAATTTTTCATAAGGATCCCTTTATTGTTACAGGCAAGGAAAAATTTCTAAGTAGCTCAAAAATAAAATGCTACCTTTGGCCTTAAAAAGCACACCCCTGAGCTTGAGGCTTTATTAAACAATGTGTGAAGTTAAGAACACAAATGTCAATTCTGTCTTGTAGATGTCAAAATGTCAGATCTTGTCACTGGGACTAGACCTTTAGAAAGAGGCAGTGGCCTGGCTTTCAAACAAGGGCACACATTAGGTAAACTGTCAAATGCTCATGGGTCAGTGGGCAGGGCAAGTGAATCTGGTAAAATGGCAAATGAGTGTGGAATCTGATGAAATAGGGGGTCAGTTGATGTCTACGAAGCCCTTCGGGAGGGTTTCACTGCACCTTTCTTCCATACATAGATACCCTGGTTACCCTGGAGGTTTCTGTCTATTCCCAGACAGATTTTCCCAGGTGCATGTTGAGCCGCTGTCACCTAATTCTGAACCCAGTCTGGAAATAGCAGAATGACACATCATTCACTAAGGGTCAGAATGCTTGCAACTCAGGCTTCGTGAGTTAATGATCCCTCCAGACTCAAGTAAGGATTACTTATTTATCTTTACTTGTATTGAGGAAATCTTCAAAGAGTTCATACATGGTAAATATTTTCTAATGAGGACAGTTTCTAGTAATTTTTCCTGCTTTTTGACAAGTATAGATTTGTCCAAAAAAACTATATGGCCCAGGAAAGGGGGGTTTCTAAGAAGTTTTCTCCAGAGAACTCTCAGTTATTAGCCCAGCTCCTGCCCAAGAATTCTAAACTCACAGGGTGAATGGGGCCCCTAAAGACAAGTCTGGAAGTCATCCTGCTGGCCAGATGGCTCGGGTGGTTGGAGCATCATCCCATACACCAAAAGGTTACAGGTTAAATTCCAGGCCAGGGCACATACTTAGGTTGCAGGTTCGGACCCTGGTCCAGGTACATACAGGAGCCAACCGATCAATGTTTCTCTCTCACACAGATGTCTTTCTCTCCCTCCTCTCTCTCTCTCTCCCTCTTTCCTCTCTCTCTAAAATCAATGAATGAATCCTCAAGTATGAAAAAAAATCTAGAAAAAAAATACATGAAATTAACAGCAGTTGTCAAGAGCCCTTTATTTTTCTCTCCCTAGGTTCAGAAAATCCAGAAGATCCAAAGACGGCCAGCATTCCAGAGGCTGAAGAACTTTTATGATTCTGCCAGATTCAGGATTCTGGACCCAAGGTTCCCAGTGACGCCATTCATTCTCACATCTGGATTCCTATTACTCTGAGTAGTTTTCTTCCTTTATAAAAGGTAGAAAAGACAGCTCAGGCTTTTTTTCTTGTTAACTTTGACTTACTTAAGAAAGTTCGGAAAAATTCAGGAGGAGAAAACAATTCAAGAAGCCAGAAGAAGCAAAGAAGTAACTTTTTCACTGAATACCTGATGATAGTTTCAAAGTAATGGAACCTCATGGAAAAGTAGGTTAAAAAAAAGAAAATAAAAGGATATTTAGTTGAGAGAAGTGTGGCCAGAGCAAGCAAGGAAAGGAACACAGCCCATGAAGATTCAGACTAAAATCCTATAATGTGTAGCAAAGACTATGATTGTCACCTATATCTCTGGGCAAGCATAATTATTAGTTAATTGGCTTTTGTGAAGTACTTTGTGTAGCCTTACACAATAAAGCATTATTTTATGGTGGTCAGTAATTTGGGATTTTTTTAAGTAGTTCATGATATTCAAAGGCTTATTTCATATATGTGTGTGTGTGTGTGTGTGTGTGTATGTTCATGTTCACACATATATTTGACTGTGAAGAAAGCAACCTTTTTGAAATGTCTGAAGTAAATAGGGATCAGCTGCTAAATGCCCACAGCCAATTCTACCAGACACATAAATAGCCCATGTAAGAATTTTGTGGTGTCATATTTAACTGGTGTGACTAAAATAGGCTCACTCTTTATAAACTCATTTTCTTATTATTGTTAGTTGTTTCCTGGTACCTACTTGAATAATAGAAGAAATAAAACATTGGGAAATGTTTGCCTCTCTCTGCAACTATTAAATGTAACTACATTCAGTTAAGAGTGGAATTACAATTCTAACTGAAGAGGGGAATAACGCAGACTTCCAGAAAGCTTCCTTCCTCGGCAAGTCCATCCGTGATTTGGGGTGAGCCCAATGATGTTCTGTGCACAAGGGGAAGTGAAAGCATTTGTTTGAATAGATAGTTAAACCATTTGAAGCTGTGTCTGTTGGCAATAACACACTGGTTAAGTGGATATGGGACACCAAAAACAATATATTTGATAGCCCCTCAAACATTTGTCTTTTGTCACTTTTGCAGGGAGCCACCATGTCACCATTTCTTCGAATTGGTTTGTCCAACTTTGACTGTGGGTCCTGCCAGCCCTGTCAAGGAGAGGCTGTTAACCCTTACTGCGCTGTGCTTGTCAAAGAATATGTTGAATCAGGTAAGCTTGAATGGGTCTCCCAGGAGGGGCCGGTGGAGGAAGATCCTGCTATGAACTTCAAAGCAAGGACTCTCGGGAGTCTTCAAGGTCTTGTGGTCTAACCTAATTTTACAGTCTAGTAAACTGATGTCCAGGGAAGCCAAGACTTCCTCAAGAGTATACGGGCTGAGTGATCACCTCTGAACTAGACTCAGGTCTCCTGCCTTGTGTTCGAGTTCACTGCACCATTTTTCCACAAAAACAAAGAGATCAAACAAAAGAATGGAGAAATGGATTTGAGGACACTATGTGATGAGTTAGCAGGGAAAAAAATCTAGTGAGCTAAAGTAGAACGTGGGACCTATATTGTTAAGCCTGGTTGCTCTCAGTGATCATAGATTAAGTTCTGCATAGTCTCAAAATTAGCTCTGAATATGGATCACTGTTCTTTTGGCTAAGCTTTGATGAATGATACAAAGAATATATAATTAGCCATTAGAATCCAAATTTTAGAAAACTTACTTTCGTGTTTACTAAGTCCCTGGATCAGTAAAGTAATAGTCAATGCTTTGTCCAAGTTAAATGCATATAGGCAGTTCACGGTGAGGAAGTGTGACAGTCTTCCGAAATTCCCTTTGTGGGTTTAGATTATTCCATTGAAATAATCTTATTCTGTGTGGAATCTCCCCATGGTCACTTCAGCTGGCTTCCATTCTCCTTCCACTGCCTCCAGGTTTTCTCAGCCCTCCTACCTTCCCTGTTTCCCTCCACACACTTCTTGTTTCAGCAGACACATTGTAGAGCAGTATGATTGCCTTGTGCAGATTTGCAGTGACAAAAGGAGGAATTTACATAAAAAGTATTTATGGGGCCTCTACTGTGCACTGGGACTGAAAAAGTGCCTTTCCTTTAGCAGAGGATGACAGACAGTAAACAAAAAATATAATAAGATAAGTAATGTGAAGTGAAGAAAAACAAAGGAGAGGAGAGGGGAGAGAGCGTTGGGGACAGAGAGATATGCTATTTTATACAGGGAAGAAAGGCCTCTAAGGGGATGACATTTACAGATGCCAGGGGAAGCTGATTTCGCAGGTGAGAACCTCTAGCTGGACGTTGCCGGCTCAGGATCCCGGACTTCCTAGTACTCCTGTCTTAGCTCTTCCTTCCCTGGGAAGACTTGGCATCCTGGTTGACTTTGTCCTTTCTGCCACTGTGACTGTCAAAGCTGGGACAGTCTGAATCATCCTGATTTCCCTTCTCACCAGATTTCTCTCCTGTTAAGTTAAAGTGAGAATGGCGCTTGCTCCTAATCTAAAATCTTTCAAATGTCACAGAAATCTTTGAAGTGTAAAATGTCTGAGTTTTTCAAAGCCGCTTTGGACTTAGTGAGTCTCCTGGATCCCACTTCTCTTTACAACCACAGGTCCCCCTGACATTTGCCTCCAGAGAGCTTTTTTTTCATGTCTTCTTCTGGCCTTTGAACTTGGTCTAATCAGCCATGTGGATCAAGACCTTGTCAGAAAAGACAACAGCTTTGTTTTTCCAAAAGGTTAGCCTGAGGAGTGTGGAGGTTTTTGTTTTTGATTTTGCTTTGGTTTTGTTCTGAAAAGAAATCCCTCTGAACATTATCATTCAAGTATTGCTTCTATAGAATTTAAACACACTTCAGCCACCGGGGATGTGAGGCTTCCTTTTCCATGATGAGTCAACAGAACAGAAAGGGACAGATGGGACCGGTGATATGGGTCTGGGAGTCTTTGAAAAAATGATGAAACTTACTGTAAATAGACAGGATCCTGGGTTCTGTCCTCTTTTGAGGTGATTACAAACCTAGTGAACAAAAGTATGACAAACACCTTGCCAGGTGTGGAAGAAGGTTATGGTAGAAAAGAATTATGAGAAGGAGGGGCTTCAGGTTCATGGAAGTAAAATGTTACTGTGATTGTTAATATTGCCATTGTTTGCTTTTAAGTCTCATCTCCATTTCAATTTCTTTTAAACAAGCATAAAAATCTTTCCCTTCCTAGACTACTCTTATCATCATTATCAGTTTGTATCTCTAATAGCCAGGTTCATCTAAAATTTAGAGTTTCAGTTTATCCAAATCTTTGTATTCCTCCCAAATAATCACTTAGCAAATGCGAAATTCCTCTTCCTTTTTAGCATTGTGCATTGGAGAGAGAGGGCCATCAGGAGTCAGAACTGCTTTGTTTCCAAGCTTTAAATGGATTTTACCTTTTGTTTGGTCAACATCTCTGAATTGCTAAATCTGCCACTTCATGTGCTTATTATCACAAGGAACAGACACTCAAATACAGCTGCAGTTTTCTGCTTCTGAAATGATTAAAGAACAGTTACTACAGAAATTCAGTCTGGATGAAATCTATGACAACATTACCTAAACTCCCACTAGTAAAGTCTCCCAATCACCTGGAGGCTCTGAGCGGGCTTCCCTTAAACTTACTCATCCTGACCATGGTCCTTGTAAGGACCATGTCCAAGACTACCCCTTGCCCGCCTTTCCTCACTGCAGGTCTGTAGCCTACTCTGCTGACTCACTCCACGGAGGAAGCCACCACCTCTGTGAGTTACCTGTCAGTTTTTGCTTAGGGTGCATGCCTCATAGTTCAGGTAAAATGTATCCTCCTTTGGGAACTGAAGAAATAATGGCTCATGATGTTTTAAAGGTTTTGCCTCTTGTCATAAAGAATGGGGTTTAAGTTAATCTGCCCACCAAATATACTAGGCTTAGTCCCTGAGTTCTTTTTATTTGCTTAGGTGTCCACACTCAAAGTGAATCAACTAACTGTTGAATAGGAAGAGCACATCAGCAGTCCCAGGGATTGCCAGGTTTTTGTTGCCTAAATTATCCAGATTGACTTTTATTTTTTTTATTAATTAATTTATTTTTTCAAATACATTCATCTCTGCCTTCCCCCCACCACTTTCCCTTGCCACCTCCCTCCTTCCTTCCCTCCCTCTACTCTTCCCCTTTGGTTTTGTCCGTGAGTCCTTGCTATATGTTCCTTGACTTTCCCCGTCCCTTCCTTTTCCCTGCTCCCCCCTTCCCTCTTGTCTCTGTTGGTTTCTTTTCCTTTCAGTGTTGCTGGTCTTATTTTCCTTGAATCTTTGTATTGTTGGTTAGGTTCCACTTATAAGTGAGAGCATATGGTATTTGTCTTTTTCCCCCTGGCTTATTTCGCTTAGCATAATGCTCTCTAGTTCCATCCATGCTGTCACGAAGTTTAGTAGTTCTTTTTTCCTTTCTGCTGCGTAGTATTCCATTGTGTAAATGTACCATCGTTTTTTGATCCAGTCATCTACTGATGGGCATTTAGGTTGCTTCCAACACTTGGCTATTGTAAATTGTGCTGCTATGAACATTGGGGTGCACAGGTTCTTTTGAATTGGCGTTTTGGGGTTCTTAGGGTATAGTCCCAGCAGGGGAATCACTGGATCAAAAGGCAGTTCCATTTTCAGTTTTTGAGGAAGTTCCACACTTCTTTCCACAATGGCTGCACCAGTCTGCATTCCCACAAACAGTGTACTAGTGTTCCCTTTTCTCCACAGCCTCGCCAGCACCTGTTGTTTGTTGATCTGTTTATGATGGCCATTCTGACCAGTGTGAGGTGGTACCTCATGGTGGTTTTGATCTGCATTTCTCTGATGGCTAGTGATGCCGAGCATCCTTTCAAATGCCTCTGGGCCCTCTGTATCTCCTCCTTAGAAAAGCGTCTGCCCAGGTCCTTTGCCCATTTTTTGATTGGGTCGTTTGTCTTCTTGGAGTGGAGTCGAGTGAGTTCTTTACATATCTTGGAGATCAAACCTCTATCTGATGTATCATTAGCAAATATATTTTCCCATAGAGTTGGCTCCCTTTTCATTTTGCTGATGTTTTCTTTAGCCGTGCAGAAGCTTCTTATTTTGATGAGGTCCCACTTGTTTATTCTTTCCTTTATGTCCCTTGCTTTAGGAGACATATCGGTGAAAAAATTGCTGCGTGGGATATCTGAGAGTTTCCTGCCAATGTTCTCCTCTAGGACTTTTATGGTGTTGCGACTTATATTTAAGTCTTTTATCCATCTTGAGTTTATTTTTGTGTATGGTGTCAGCTGATGATCCAATTTCAATTTTTTGCATGTAGCTGTCTAGCTCTCCCAACACCATTTGTTGAAGAGGCTATTATTGCTCCATTTTATGCTTCTGCCCCCTTTGTCAAATATTAGATGCCCATATAGATCTGGGCTTATTTCTGGACTTTCTATTCTGTTCCACTGGTCTCAGATTGACTTTTACATTTAAATACATTACTTTGCATGTAGAACTTAAAACTATCTCATTCTGTCCTATATTGTCTCTAATCGTTCTACATATTAATTTTGTCTTCCCAACAGAACTATATATCCTAGAGATCAGGAATGAGTACGACTGCTGAGTTGAATTGAATTTTTTCCCAGAGGTGGCTAAAGGAATAATGAGACCATATCTTTCTGTTCCTAGAGAATGGGCAGATGTACATCCAGAAAAAGCCAACCATGTACCCACCCTGGGACAGCACTTTTGATGCCCATATCAACAAGGGAAGAGTAATGCAGATTATTGTCAAGGGCAAAAATGTGGACCTCATATCTGAAACTACTGTTGAGCTCTATTCCCTGGCCGAGAGATGCAGAAAGAACAATGGGAAGACAGAAATATGGGTAAATATCTGAGCCATGAGTTCTATTTAAAGTGTAAGTACCATTAAGCGATAAGTACTGAACTAGCCAAAGACTAGCTCAAAATTTCAATGTCATCCTAAAATAATGATACTCCAGCCTTGGGTAAACAGACTCCCTGCCACTTACTCATTGGTGACTTAATAATGACAATGATTATTCACTGTGGACTGTAGAACATATTTACATATTCAAATCTCTTTGATTCCTGTATAAGGTGAAGAAGGTCTCATGCTATGGACAACTATTATGGATTTATAACTAAAAGTAAGCTCAGAAATATCACAAATGCCCCCCTAACTTGAGAACATAACTGTTGTCTCTTTATCAAGATAGCACATAGATATCTTGATGTCTTGTAACATAGATAAGATGACAGAGGTGAGAGGATGGAGCAAAGATCTATTTAATGTTTGGTCTTCTCCATACCGTGCCAATCCCTATAAACTGTTTTAGTTAAAGGTTTTCACTTAGCTTACTTTGTACTAAAAAGTTACATCGTACACAATCCATGTTACTACAGCAAGTTTTTGAAAACAGGTTTTAGAGGTTTGGGTAGCAAATGTATAAAAATGTTAATGGGAAGAATAAAATATGAAAGCATAAACATTCTAATGAAAATTTCTGGAGCCTACAAAGTGAAAGTATTTATATACCAGTAAAAACTGCTTTTAAATAATCTTAAACCCAGAAAATGTTTTCAAATGTTCCTATCATTTACACAAAATGAGAGTATCTTACTTCTCTGCTTCTTATTTCTTATAACTCAGATTTTTAATAAGTCCACCCGAAAGATTTTCAGGTCATGATTTTCAAAATGGGAATGATATAAGCCTAAAAGGTAAATTTGGTGTCAGTTTTGTATTTTTGACCTCAAAATAATTCAGTACTTTTTAGAAAAGTGTATATTTATGTATATATAGTTTATATCTTTGCTTGTGTCGCTAAAGTAATCTTTAAAGATAAGCACATAACAAGATTTTTAATAATAAAATTTAAAAAACAAAATGGTTCCCATGCTTAAATGTGTTCAGATAAGAATCATGGAAACCAAACTCTTCCTGGGTAGCTAGTTAGGCAAGTAGGCAGAGGTGAACTAACTGGAAAATAATGACACAGGTGTGTAATGTGGTGTTAAAGGATTTACACAGACCAGGTGAGGGAGTGAGGCTGTAGCTGGGCCTGAAGCAGGGCAGCATTAGGCAGAAATTAACTAGAAAACATCTTCCCCAATTTTCACCCCTTTCCATTTACTTTCTGCCTCATTGAAAAAAAAAAGTCAGCAATCCCTAATTTTTAAAAGTAGTACATTATTTGATTTCCTTCTCAAATAATGAAAGGATGACTAATTTTTTAATTCTTTTCTTAAGCTTCACTGATAACAGGTTGCTTTTCTATTTATATCTCAAAGTTGCATTTAATTTCTTGCCTATTTTGACTTATTCTTATCAGACTTTTCACGGGGTTTTTTTTGCAATCGACGATTATTTAGACATAACCCTTGGTGGCCTTCAGATCCTTATTTAACTAGCAACCTTTTTATATTTTCCAGCTTTTTTTAAAGGCTATTTCCTACTTGACTTTTATTTATAGTGTTTAAGGGGTAACAGGTTGTTTTGGACTTATAATTTCCCATGCTTCTACTGAAATGTGCTTTCTTAAAATTCATTTCTTTATTTAAAAGAGAGTATTTTCTCAAATCCGCCTTTCACCTCCACAGACACCATTGTGCAACTTCTCACCCCCACAGGGCGGCTTGCCTCCTGCTTTCCCAAGGTTTTTAGCATTTGTGTGGTCACCACCTATTCACTCTCACAAACGTGATGAACTGTGACTTTCTGTGGATACTGTTTTGCCAGCAGCTAACAGGTTTAATTTCCTCCATTACCACTACATCCTAACTATGGATAACTCTGGGGTCGCCTGGTACCCGTCTTCTCCACCTCATCTGGGAAAGAGACCCTTGTCTCCTGCTCTTCCAGTTACATCTCTGTGTCCATCTTTATTCCGGGTTCCACCAACCGGAGAACAACAGCGTGCAGACTTGATGTCAAAAGCACTTCCCTTTTCATTAATCTATTTAAGCTTGCCTGAGAATTTATAGTTGACCGAGCAGCCCAGGCTTATTTTATGATGTTAAGTATCACTATATCAGCTTTGCAGAGATCTTTGTATAGTGACTTGCACAGAGTCACACAACCAATAAATTATTTAGCCATGATTCAAATTCAACCCTGGGTTCAACTGGACACTTCTTACTCTTCCTCAGTTATTCTGGTTAACTCATGGATGTAATTATCAGTAATGACTTTTAATTCACCGTCATATTCTTTTTGGCATATTAACAATACAGTGTTATGGTTTGGTATATTAGCAATAGTGGTTAGGTTATCTTGGATTTGACATTTTTCCCATATGTCACATCATGAGATATCCTGCATCAGCCCTTCAAAATGTCACTTTGTTCTAATCCCTTCTGCATAATGGTACTGAAATATATTATTTTAATCCTTTCTTGGACCAACTGAATTAAAATTTCCCTTAGATTACCCAGCACTTTCCCAAGGAAAAAAATCTCTCCTTGCGGAAGAAAACGGCCATTCCCATTTCATACCCTGATTAGCCTGGTCGCATGTGTGGAGCCGTCTTCGGTAAAGGATTTATCTGTCCTCCCCAAGATTTGCTTGTTGCCCCTAAGAGCTAGTCCCTGTGTCTGTGGTTCTTTTGTCATGTATAACATCTGACTCTGCCCCTTTACAAGTCCTCAGATAAGCAGCAAGAGGTGGGGGGGGCAAGAAAGTCAAATAGAATCTGTTGGGGAATTTTGTTTCTTCCTTGTGGAAGTTTTGCTCCCCAGACAAGATTAATGAGTTGCTGAGGCATCTTAATAAAAGAAAGGCTGTATGCATAGATGCTGCGCTATTATGGAAATATGTATGAGTAAAATGAAAGGGAGCAATGCTTGGATTCTACTTTGGGAATCTGCCATCACCACACTCACCAGTTATGATGTCATTAACCTGTTTCACATTCTGATTAGTATTCCTTTTCTTCTCTCAACCAGTTAGAGCTGAAGCCTCAAGGCCGAATGCTAATGAATGCAAGATACTTCCTGGAAATGAGTGGCAAGTGACATTTCTTCTTCTTGTTGGGGGGATGAGGAGGGCATGTCCCTTCTCCTCTTGTGCAACTTACTGGACCTTTGCAAAGCATAGAAAAGAATCAGGATAAAATGGAAGCCCAAGGAATGTGCTTAACATTTCCAGTGGTGCTCAAACAGTAGTTGAAAGTACACTATCTGGGTTAGAGAAGCATAAAAATATAAACCATTTATACCACTAGTTTTTTTTAAATTTTGTGGACTCATATGCCCAGTGCTTTATAATCTGTCTTTATTTTAGTTTGGAAATTTAATGTAAATTCAAAAGGCTCTCTTTATGTGTTGCAACATGTATACACACTGTAGGTAAATGATGTGATATAAAAAACTTATCAAATTATCAGTAGAATATAAAATAAATACAAGAAACCAATAAATATTTTCCATAACCTCAGTGGCAAAATATTAATAGCTTCGTCAGTCCTCAACTTTTTTTAAGAACAAGGAAGGAAAATGCATTGCTAAAGAGTTTCAGTTCCATGTAACACAGGCACTGGTCAGGGAAGTTACAGTTACAGTGTTGCTTGGGGTCTGTGACAGCCTGTCAGTTCCTTATGTTGCATTTATATTCTGTGGTCAAAGTGCTATTTAAACAAATCAAATGCTACTACTCATAAAATCCTAAACCTCAGAGTGGATATGTGAACTGACTGGTAATAAACTGATTTAATTATTTTCTAAATTAGTTTTACTACCAAGAAACAAGTTTTAGTTTACAGTTTAGTTTATGGTGCATTTGGGGTTTTGCTTTACATGTACAAGTCCTTTGGGCCCAGATTCAAACAATACCTAGAAAAAAAGTCTGGAGAACATTATGCTAAGTGAGTAAGCCAGTCAGAGAAAGAGAAATACCATATGATTTCACTCATATGTGGAATCTAATGAACAAACTGAATAACAAGCAAAACAGAGACAGACTCATAGATGGAGAGCAGGCTGACGGTTATTGGGGTGGGTGGGGGAGGTTAGAGGGTGGAAGGATTGAGCAAAAAGGAAAAAGGGCTCATGGACACAGACAACAGTGTGGTGATTGCGGGGGGGAGTGAGATATGAGGGGACTAAATGGTAATGGAAAAAGTATATAATAAATATCATATAATTTTTAAAAATAAGAGATAATCATAGAAAATTGAGCACTTACCACATATTTGGTGATATTGAGACAAGGTTAATTTTTTAGGTGTGATGATATTTGTAGTTATATTTTTATAGAGTCCTTATCTTTAAGATACATCCTAAAATGTTTATAGATAAAAATAATACTAGGAATTTGTTTGAAATAACCCATTGGTACAGGGGTCAGGGGATGGAAGGGGTATGTTGGAAGACTGGCCATGGATTGGAAATTGTTGAAGCTGGATGATTGTACTGGGAAATAAATCGGTTTCCTCAGCTTTGTATGTATTTGAGACTTTCCATAGTAAACCTTAAAAAAAAGAAACTCCTAAAGAGATCTTTTCTTCTTTTATGTCTGGAGGCTCCAGATATATAGTACATGTCACTGCACTGTTCTTGAGTCAGCCAAATGATAGTGATGGTAGGGCAGCTGAATAACTGCTTTGCATAAAAAGTGAAAGTACTGGACTAAATGATATTAGCAATACTGTTTAATTCCTTGAGTAAAATGAAGGATACTTCTCCCATTAGTTCAAAACATAGCCCAATGTAAATTAAAGAAAGTCCTCCATCAGAATGCAAGTATTTTTGGTAAATGGCTTAAAGATCACTACTTTGAAAAGTAACTCCATGGATATTTATCCTATTACTGCGGAACTTAAGTTTTGTCTTAGAATGAGAAAACAAATTCAGGTGACCAAAAACAATAACATTTCACAAACAATAATTACGCAAACCCATGAAGATTTTTTAAGATTAAAACTTTGTAGTATTTACAAATTTTTATACCAACCCCAAATTGAAACCCTATCTCTAAATTTTTATATATCAAAAACCCTAGTTTTCAACAAGCAATATTATAGAATAATTCAAGTGCAAAATTCCTTATTGATGATGAGAAGTATAGCATCTCAATCAATTTTAAGAATGTTCATATCTTCTGAAGGATTCAGGAAACCCAAATATAAGTTCTTACTCAAGGATCTTAAACCCAAATTGGAGAGGTGGTACAGCTTAAACAGAGAATTAAATACTAAACCATATAAATACATGATTAACCAATGGATTACCTTTATTCCAGAAAATGATATATTGCAGGCCCTGAAGGGTAAGCAGAGTTGAGATTTGCAAAGAGGAATAGCCTCTAGGGGAAAAAATATAGGCTTCAGCAAAAATATGAGTGGACAAAGGACTATGAAAAGATTGGTGTAGGTAGATCAGTGGGCCCCTCCTAAAGTCAGGGTGAAGAATCCAAGACAGATCTTGGAGGGCTTAGAAGCCAGACAAGAGGAGTATGTACACTTCAAGAAGTCACCAACAAAAAGTCACAGTCACATTCTTGAGCAGGGCATGACAGCATGAAAGCAGTGTTTGGAGGACGTTGCTTGTGACAGAATGTGGGATGGGTTTGGGAAAGGAAATAGACTGAGTATAGAGAGAGCCTATAAAATTTCATTTTTGCAATGGAGAGGTGGTGAGATGCTGGCCTAGGCATGTGGTTATAGGAATGAAATAAAAGAAAGACTCCAAGAGAAAATAAGAGCAAGAGTTCTTGGCAGGGTAGATGGAAGGGTATGCCCATTATAAGTACTTAGTTAAGGTGCTTTTATAAATCTTTAAAAATAAAAGTTGAATGAAGGAAAAATGTTGATGACATCTCTTAAAACAGACTAGGAAAATGATCATAGGAGTGGTAGAAATGGGAGATATGGGAAGAGAAACCAAATGAATGGGGGTAAAGAATTTAATCTTGGATAACAATTAAGATGACATCATGTCTCCTGCAACCCTCTTTAACGGAAGCCTCCAATTCTTTGGGGGCTCTCCATGGGGAATTAAATGGCTCATTGCTCTCCACACACAACAATCCATTCTTTATCTTTTAAAATGCCTATTCCTTGAAAAAGTGCTGAAATCACTTTTCCTCTTCTTCCTCTGCTTTCCTACCGTTACTCTTTGTAGCTTCAATGTTCACCATAACCGTCTGATATATCCACTCCATGTTTTCACATCTTCCTACATTTTTCTTTATCCATTCAATAACCTACAATTACCCCACAGGTCTTCACTGGGATTCTCCACCTCAGTAAGGACTGAGTCAGACCTCTTTCTCTTGGAACTCATCCTCCTCTCTTGTCAATTCGGTCCTCTCTCCCACCCAATAAGTACTAGACTTTATCCTAATCTCATTTCTTTCTCATACTTATTTGTTATGCACTTGTAACATTAACTCCTAGCCTAGCCTAGAGTCCCTGATAAGCCCTTGCCCCTAAACACTCTGCTCTTACAAGCACCCTCTTCATCCAAAGATGTCCTGATCTCCAAACTGTGCATTCTCCTTCTCCTGCTGTGCGCCTTTGCACCATTTTTACCAGTAACCTATTTATTTTGTCCTTGTTATCTTGGTTAATTATTGCTTCATCCACCCTGAAACCTGGAAGTAATTTTTACAGCCTTTTTGTCCTTTAACCTCCCACATTAATCCATCAACAGTTTCTGCCCATGTTGTCTATTCAGTATTTTTCAACTATATTCCCTGCTTACATCATCATTACTTCTTGCCAAATCCCATTCATTCTACCTAGGTGCCAGAATAAACTATGTAAAACTCCGTTCTGAGCATGCCATGCCTCTGTTCCTCTCTTTGCCTCTGTGCTTGCCTACCACCTTTCAGTGTTTACAAATTACCTACAGGAAAAATGTTCAAACTGATGTGACACTTAGGCATCTTCTGGATGTGACCACTGATGTTTTCTGCTTCATACTGCACACTGGCAATATACACATCCCAAGATACTTTATCTCTATACCCTTGCTCATTCTTTTCCATCTAAAGAGAACACTTTTTGCTTTTACCCACCATACCTCTCACACATGTTAATAGGACTAATTCATCCCTCAGAACTCAGCTCAGAAATCATCTCTCCTAGTATCTTCCTTGTCCCAACTTTCCTGTCTTTCTCACCTTCACCTGCCTATACCTGCCTTAGCTAGTGTTAAGTTTCCACACCTCTACAGTCCCGTAGCATCATGTGATTATTTCTTTTCTGACATTTACTACTTTCCTTCTGGACTCCATGCAGAAAACTAATGTTTGAACTCGTCTTACTCGTTTCTTTAACTCCAGTACCAGGTTGCATGCTAGGTACATAGGAGGCACTTAATGAATGTTTGTTAAACTGTTTAGTTGGACTCACCCTGGCATTTAAAAGTTCCTTTCATTTTCTTTCAATTCCCATACAATGGCTATTCCACACAGGCTGTACTCCTTGGTTTCTGAGGGTATCTTGTTCTTCTCACTCTTGGAGGTTGGTCTACCCCTTCCCATATAATTGGAAGAGACTTCATCTTCTATCTGTCTCTGCACCTAGAGTACAGTTGCTTCTTCCTGCACTCTCTTCCTGCTTCTCTGCCTCAGAGAAAGACCCTCCCATTCTTGGTCTCCTGCATTCAGTTCTTGGCAGCTCTGTACCATCAATCATGCTCTGTTTCTAGCATCTTCAACTTTTCCTTTTCTCTTTGGTTTTTAACTCTGCAAAGACATACTGAATTGAACTACCTTCTCTTATTTTCAAAAAGACCATTCTTTTTTCAGTCTTTTTACCTCCATGAGTTTTTCTTTCCTCTCCTTCTCTGACACATTTCTTGAAAAAGTACTTTATATTTATTATTCCCTGTTTCTTCTCTACTTTGTTGATTCTTGAACCCTAACAGACCGGCTTATATTCTTACCAATCTGCTAAATGGCTTTCTCCAAGAATATGAATCTTCAAAACAAATTCCTGTTTCTTAGCCTTCAATTCCCTTGACATTTCTCTATTACTCAATGCTGAACAATCCATTCTTTATTGGTTAGCCCAATGTGATATTATTCAAGTTTTCCTCTTAATTTTTCAGGTGCCTCGGTGTGGTCTCTTTTGTAATTCCTTTTCCTACCACCTAAAAAATATGGCTGTACTTATTTCCAAGTCTGTTTCACACCATCATATATACTGTTCTTTGTGTGAGTGCCTGTCTCCTGGACTTGACTGTTAGCCACTTTCAAATGTTATGAATAATATTTTATATTTCTTTAAAACATTCAGCATAGCAATTTTCTCAGAGCTGCCCAGGAAACATTTGTGGTTGCACTGACTACAAACCAGTGACAGATTAAACTAATATAAAGCATATAAAAATCTATGAGCTTCTTCAAGCCAATAAATAAACAAAAGAGCAAATTACTTCAGAAATAAACATAGTAAATATCAGAAGAATTCAAAAAATTCTGAGTTTTTATAAATTTACTCTCTTGCAATGACTGAAATAGAGAATAAAGGATATCACAAGAAAGAGCAAGGGAATAAATTCATTTCTAGCACTTTCTGACTTTTTTTTAAAAAATTACAGCATTATAGTCTCATGCACAGAATATATCTATATACATATAATTTTACAGTAATACAGTGAGGGAGGGTTCCCAAAATAATTCATCTCATGAATTTAAAAGTAATATTATACTTTATTTCATATCAATGCATCTGGACCAAAATAGAAATGAGTCAGATCTTAATGACCAGTGTCCTACTACACCAGTCATAAGTTGTAAATAGATCTCCATGCTTACACCAGAACTCATGGAAGGCAGTTGCCTCAGTGACCCTGAATTTAACCCCTCATTCACCAAGCCAAATTTATTTCCAGCCCAGTTCCAAATGGAAAGACCTAAATCGTCTAACCTTAAAGTATTAGGCAGTATTACGCCCCCATCTGTGGAACTCTTTACATGGTTATTGGGGATGCTCTTTATCTGGGAGTCTGGAGTTGCTATAAGACAAACTTGTGGACCACTGTAGAGTCGACTTTAGGCTTAAAATATGTCTGGGGACTTGGACTGGGACTTGGATTCCTATAGATGAGTAGGTAACATCCAGGATTACCCAGACATTAAAAAACTGCAGTGATCTATTGATTGCTGACCCTTTCCTCATTGACCAGTGTAGTCTGTAGCTTGTACATTTGATTACTGTGGACATCAGCAACCAGAACATAAATAATTCCCCAAATTCTTCTGCCTTCACACACTACCTCCCTCCAGTCTACTCTACTCTATAACCAGATGTAAAGCATCTTGGGACCTAAAAAAAAAAAAAAATGCCATTTACAAGTTGCTGTCAATAACGAACCACATTATTCTCTAGAATTACAGGCAGAAAAGTACTTACCACTTCCTGCCTTCTCTGGCTGACTCATCATTGACACTGAATAGGAAAGGTTGATAAATACCTTGAAAGTTCTGACCTCTGGTTTGAAAAATTCAAAGATAGTAATTCAGCAGGGTCAAAGAATAGTGAAGGATTGAGCCAATAATTCAACCTGTTTCAATCCTAATATAATATATCCTATGATAAATCTGTGTTAAAGAATTAAAGAAAAAAGGCTTAGTAATACACCAACCTTAGTAAGTATTGGGGATTTTACTGGTCTCAAAACTTGTGTAATTCCTTGTTCATCTCTATCCCTTCCCCACCTCCTCACCTTCCCCATCCAGCTGTGACAACCATATCACAGAACTTTACTTTGTCCCTCATCCTCTTCTGCAGACACAAAGGACATGAGTGAATTTGAGACTGAAGGCTTCTTTGCTTTGCATCACCGTCGAGGAGCCATCAAACAGGCCAAAGTCCATCATGTCAAGTGCCATGAGTTCACCGCCACCTTTTTTCCACAACCCACGTTTTGCTCCGTCTGCCATGAGTTTGTCTGGTACAGTAAATTGGCATTTAATTCCAAGCTGTAGGTTATGCATTTTGTTGCACCCTCTTACCCCACAAGGCCCCGGCCCAGCATGCCCCACCTTAGGGGAATATCCTAGAATAAATACTACATGAGAGTTTTCAGTGACTTCACCTGAATTGAGAAGACTTAAAGAGTCTGATTTTATAGAAGATTTCATAATGTGGCTCCTATAGGGCAAGAAAGCCAGCTCCATCAGGAGAAGGTTCCAAGGACTTTAGTTTCTGATTAAATGGGAGGCTCTGGGGTAAGAGGAGAGGGACAGAGGAGGTAGATATCCTTGTGGTAAGCATAGTTTTATAGCTGAAAACTCCCACCACCTCAACAGCTTAACTGTACTGGCACTAATGTTTACAACAGACAACAACTTTCCCATTGGAGCTAATGAGTTTGGATGTTTACTGTGCTCTTGGGTGTTTTAACAGTCCTCGAACAGAGATTGGTTCAATCCTCAGTAGCCACATAGCAAAGGCTATGATGGAATGGAGACTTGAAACAACTCCTATCTCTAGTCTCAGCCTACTTTCTTCCTAGCAGAATGTTCTTCCCTTTGGACAACTGCAAAATCCATTAATGCACAACCCTAGTTTAACCAGGGTGTCCAAGGGCAAACAGACTTTTAGTGGATTTCTATCAACCTGTTTTCATCTGATGACCTGAACCCCCTCCCTTTCTCATAGTGAGTGTTACTCAGGAATGATACTCAGAAAGAGGAAATGGAATGTTGTTCAGATGTCTTTGCTGATCTATATTGAGCTTAATGAGACAATGAATTTTTACGTGTAGGATATGGAAATTTGCTACTAGGAGCCAATGATGCATTTTCAATCAAGCATTTTAACCTTGTTTGTTTGGAAAATACACCAACGAGAGGGCAATTAATGAGAGCTCATTTATTTTATCATCAAACTTTTAACAAAGCAGTTTAAAAAAAAATAACATGTTAACACTCTTGACAAATGATAGACCAGGGCTGCTAATGAGAAAATGTTCTGTGATAGTAGGAAACCATGAGATCTCATCAACTTTCAGATGTCTGTGGTGCTGCAGTTGGTTCGAATATCCACATAAATCAAACCTGTGCTTTATTGCAGGGGTCTGAACAAACAGGGCTACCAGTGTCGACGTAAGTAAGAAAGATTTCTGTTGTATTACTATCATTCCTTTTTAGTGGTTCCTTAACTTCTGAAAATCTTAAGCCACATTCATTTATTTTCAGAATGTAATGCAGCAATTCACAAGAAGTGTATAGATAAAGTCATAGCCAAGTGCACGGGATCAGCTGTCAATAGCCGAGAAACCATGGTATGTATTTAGATTCTCCCCTTTGTCTGAAATATGATGATTTTACCTGACATTAGATTTTACAGCCCACTAATGTTTTTTAATAATGCCCAAATTTGAATCTTTAAGCTTATCGGTGATCTCCCTAAAGCCTTTCCTCTTTAATAATTGTTACTGAGATTCATGACTAGGGTGTGAATTTAAAAAAAACACAATAAGAATTTTAGTGGCTCTTCCTTTTCCAGAGAAATATAATAGAAAGTGGCCAGAAGATATAGTTTTGATCAATTATGTGAGAACAACTTCTGTGGTATCTATAGCTAGAAGTGACAAAGAATAGAGGGAAATGATAATAAAATACAGATATAAGCATTTACAAGGTTAGAAAAAGATGATGATAGATGCATAATTCTTTTATTAAAGGCAAATATGTCTTTTAGAATGAACTTTGAGGTATATAGTTTGAGGACAAGTTAGATTTTACTCCATGGAGAAGGGAAGCTGAGCTAGAAAGTCAGGCAGCCTCCCTTCTCCCACCTTCCCTTCTTCATTCAACAAGTATTAATTATTGGGTGTATAATATATGTATGTACTCTGTGCATAGCAGAGTACAAAACAGATGTAGTTCTGCCTTTATGGACTTTACCATAAAGCTGGGGAAACAGACATTAACAAATGACTATGTATAGTTCCCATTTATATTAATTAGGTACTATAAAAATAGCCAACGAGGTGTGATGTTGGAGAATAACAGAGTGGCTCACTTAGACTGAAGGTCAGAGACTCTCCCAAGGGAGGGGACACTTAAGCTGAGAGTTGAAGGATGAAAGGAGCCAGCTGTGTGGGCAGCAGTGGAGAGGAGCCCCCAAGACAGATTGACAGGCTCCATGGAAGGGAAGAAGCAGCATGTTCTAGCAACTGAGATGAGACCACATGACTGGAACAGCAAGGGCAAGAATGGAAACATGAAGCTGAGGAATTTGGCAGAACCTAGGTCAGGAGGGCGTCTTTAGATCCTGGAAAAGAGGTTGGATTTTATTCGACTTGCAACATAAAGTCCACTTGTGACTGCTGGTAGGGAAAATGGTGGGTTGAGATGTGAAAGTAAAAATCAGAGTGTGGAGTCCCACCAGGGCAGAAGTGCGGTGATAGTGGAGATGGTACAAAGCAAGCAGGTTTTTTTAGGTGATTTCAATGTTCCAAATGACTTGTTTGCCAATGGACAAGATATAGAGAATGAAAGAGAGGGGTGATGGCTAAGTGTCTGTCTTGAGCAGTGGGGTAGATAGCAGAACCATAAGAATGTGAATAAGGCTGGAGGGAGAGATCTGGAGAGAGAAATTAACATTTCAGTTTTGGACAAAGCCAGTCTGAGATGCCTAAGGACTTCCAAGTGGAGGTATCCAATAGGCAATTTTATATGAGTTTGGAATGCAAAGAGCCAATGGACCAAATCTATATATTTGAAGGTGACTATCATTGGGGTAGAATTTAAAGCTGCCAAAGAAATTACTTAGTGAGTAGAGAGAGAAAGGAGTACAGGGTCAACATACTGATCCAAAAGGAATCTAAAATTAGATGTTAGGTAGAAGAGAAGGGGCTTGTGAAAGAGACTGAGAACAAGGGTTCCGAGAGGGCTCTTCATATGCTAAGAGTGTATGAAAGGGCGGGGTTTTGTTTGGTGCAGCTGAGATGATGAAAAAAATGAGGGCTACGTGGAGATCTTTGGAGACCTTGATCAGAGAAATTTCAGAGGATTTATAAAGGTGGTACCGTCATTGGCCAGCACTGGAAGATAACATGTAAACAACCTATGTATTAATATTATCATGAAGATTAACTGTGAAGGAGACCATTGAAGTAAAACAGTAGCTGGAAGGAGGTGAGACACAAGGAGTAAAAATATTCCCATAGTTAGGGAGCAATGATGGATGGATGAAGTTGGAGAGGGGAATGACCAGAGCAGTCAGCCTTGGCAAGAGGGGAGAAGGTCCACATATTCTAAGGATGTGGAGATGGGTCTCTGATGGATGGAAGAACATGTCCTCAATTGTGTCAGGAAGGGAGGAGAATATGGTTGCAGATTAAGGTTGGTTTGTAGACTTGGGGGTGGGCAGATAAGAGAACTTCTCTTAGCCAACTTACATCCTCAGTGGAGTCTGAGGAATGCAAGAAGGAACAAGAGAAGACAATGGCCAGCTTTGAGGAGGAGGATCTTCTCTGAGGAGGAGAAATGATTATCTTAGAGATGGGAACAAAAGGCATTAGGAAAAAGCAGTAGGATGGCCAAGCACAGTTGAAAGCCCCTTTGAATATGAGGGTATCCGCCTGCCCAGGCATGTGATTTTCTGCAGCAAAGGGGCAGGTACAGAGAAAGCAAACTGATTTTTTCCAGAGTAGAATTTCTTTTAAAATTTAGAGCCAGAAAAGGATAACCTTTTATTAAAGTGACTCTGCTAAGCCTCAAGGAGGTTAAAGTAGTTTGTCTACACTCAACCACCTATAAGAAGCAAAGCTGGGGCTAAAATTCAGATCTCAGTCTCCCAGACCAATGTTGTTTGCTTAAATCAAATGGCCTCCTGCTCCCTTTACTTGATGCCTCAGCTTTTGTGGAGAATCACACATCGTAAGCATGACTGTTAACCTTAAAGGCTAATTAATGTCCAATTGAAATAGAATGAGGGCCACAGAATAATTTTAAATTTCCAATTAGCTGCATTAAATAAAGTAAAAAGCAACAGGTGAAAATACTCTTAACATTATATGTCATTTAACCCAGTCAGCCTATTATCATTTTAATATATATTCAGTATAAAAATTAATGTGATATTTTACAGTTTTCCATACAAAGTCTTCAGAATCCAGTGTGCATTGTACACTTACAGCACACCTTTTCACCACCTTGCAAATATTCATTTGACCTTGTGGCTAAGTGACTATCATATTAGAAAGTACCGATCTACAGTCTTTCCCAGACATATCTTGAACCATTTGAGCAGTTCATGATTTAAAGTGGAAGCCTTCCAGCCTGGACCTGGACATCGATTGTCCATATTTATGTGGAAATGATTATACAAAATGAGTTTTAAAAGTTATTTCTTTTCTTGATTGAAAATGGCTACAGTAAGTGCTGGGCAACTTTTGAGCAAGTCTAACCAGCCATTGGAAAGATCCAGTGCTGACCAGTAGCCCAAGCAGGGACATTAGCTACATCGCTTGAATAAATAAGGCTTCATTAGTGCATACATTCCCAAATCAATTGTTTAATTAAAAACTTAGGCAGAGATTATAGGTCTTAAGTATGTAAAACTTTTTATACTGTGCAAGGATACTGGTATTCTTGTCAAGATTCAAACTGCCTGATTTTTCTTGTTGTTGAGCATGAGATAAGTTTGATTAAAGGAGAGGAAGTAAACTAGAAAATTGTGGGAAAAAAAAAACAAAACAAAACTGCCATGCATACATCTACCACCAACATCCCTTTCTCATCTTCCCTCTCCCCATCCCCTAAGTCATACATTTATTTAGAGGGAGAGAAGAATAACAGTAAAAGAAGATAGGCTTTGATTCTGACAGCCAGGCTACAGATTTCCCAGCTCACTTGGCTGTGTGATCTACACAAGTGTCTTGCCCTCTCTGTGCTTAATCCCCTCATCTATCAAATGAAAGTACTAACAGAGGCTACTTCAAGTGGGATATTTTGAAGATCACACAAAATATCCCATGTGTAAAAGAGAATACACACGCCATATGTGTGTACAGTACCTGGCAGAACTGCCATCTACCCCTGGCCTCCTCAGTCCATGTATAACAGGTGTGAAACGCTTCACACTTTGGGCTCTAATACTGATTATCCCATGGCATTGTTTCCTCTAGAGGAGTCGTTATGTAACACCTTCCAAAGGTTAAAGCACTCGTTCTGGGTTGAAAGAGTAAAGAAAATATTTATATTAAAATAGGAAGGGAAGTGCAAGGTTTACTTAGCTCCCATTTAAATAAATAACCCTTGTCCCCCCTCCTGAAAAGTCAGCCCCGCTGTGGGAATGTCTCAGACGTAAGCCGTCTGCCAGTTACTTGATATGTGCATATCACGCTCTTGCCCCTTACCTCAAAAGAACTAATGGGTGTCTGAGTTCTTTGGATGTGACAATAAAGTTTAACAAGTAAAAACTGTGGCTTAAAATGCATTGTTCCGTTGTTTTTATTACTCTGCTACTTATGCTAAAGTATCTGTTAAGAGATAGAAAGCTGGAGACCCAGGGACACCTACCACCATGCAGTGCTCTCGTTTCAGTTCCACAAGGAGAGGTTCAAAATTGACATGCCGCATAGATTCAAAGTCTACAATTACAAAAGCCCAACCTTCTGTGAGCACTGTGGGACCCTGCTGTGGGGCCTGGCCAGGCAAGGACTGAAGTGTGACGGTGAGTAGTGGGAGATGATGTGGGCCCCGAAAGAATACCTCCAGCAGGTGGATTCACAGCTTTAACAGAGCGCAGGAAGGAAGGGGGGAGGGTATGGAGAGCTGACCCCTCCGAGCAGCCTGGAGGAGCCCAGGGTGGGGACGGAGAAAATGCCTGAAGCAATAAGTCACTGCTGTTCTTTCTCTTACGCACACCCCCCCACACGCACACCCTAAACCTTGAACCCAGATAACTACGAAATCACTCAGGTTCCACATCAAGGCTCCTGGCCCCGTTGCCTTCTGTTGTTGTGTGATCCTGGGGAGAAATGAAGGCAGCATTTTCCCTCTAACTGACCACTTCCTTTGACCTGACCTGCCGCCTCCCTGGGCCTGGCCCCTGACTCTGGCAGTGTCAGCTGTGCCCCTGCCCTCTCTTTTGCATCAACTAGTGAGATTCTTTCTGGGGTCCCATCAAGGAGCAAGCCCAGTGCATCTGCTTGGCTAACGGAAGGTCCTGCATGGAAGAACTCCGTGACTTAAGCTGGACAGATAGTGTATCACCAAAGCGTGCTGCAAACTCAGAATGCCCAGGGAGAGGCCAAGTCTGGCTCTGACTCTAATGTTTCCTCAAGGGTCGCCAGAGCCAGAGCCTGCAGCCTTCCCTGGTCAAGTTTTTCAGGCGGACCCTGAGAAAAAGCCAAAAGGGCTCTCTTGCTCTAAAACTCCAAGTTGCCAATGCAATAATATAACCCCCAGAAACTGAGATGCTACGATACCAAGATGAGAGGGTAGGAAGGGAAACATTCCAGTAAGAATGACAATGCATTTCTGCCTTTTGAGTGGGGGGTGAGGGTAGGGATAGGGCCCAAATATCTTCAAAAAGGAGGGTTCCTTCATGCAGCAGAGACCTTTCTATTCTGAATTATTAAATATAGAAGCCACTGTTCTTGCAGTCTTATTTTATTTAACGTGACTGGCTAATGCATGTCTTTTAAGTGACAGAGGCGCTGACGGTAGGTGAAAGATCACCTTCAGTAGCGTCCCCCTGCTCATCCCAACTGTGTTCACGTGTCTGGGGAGCCTGGAATGACATCTTCATGGAGGCAGGAGGGGGCAGGTTTTTAAACCACTGCTGAAGGCAAGACACATATGTAGTCAAAATTCTCTTGAACAGTCCCTCCATAGCACACAAGTACTGCTATATACTTTCTTCTCCAGGCCTGTTCAAGATGCCTGGGAGGGCCTGGCACTGTACAGATTTAGCTTTACAAGTTCACAGGCAAGAAGTAACTTCAAATATCCTAACTGTACAAACAAGACATGAATATTCAAAGCCCCAGCTGATGGCCTCCTGTTCCTGTGAGGTCTCACAGTCCACGTTTCCTTTCCCTGGAGCCCAGACGCCCCACCTACCCAGGCCAAGCTGGCCCCAGCAGTGCGCTTACACTGAGCTTAGAACTTCCACGAGGATTCTTGGCATTATTTCACGGCTCACATGCCAGCTTTGTTCTGTCCTTTTCTAATGTTCTTTCTCCTCCATTCCATTCTTGACCCCACTGTCCCATCTCCTGCACTTCAAGTGGCCCCCCTCCCTCTTTTCTCTCATCCCCTCTCCCCTCCCCTTTCCTCCCTTCCCTCTCCTCCCTTCCCTCTCCTCCCTCTCCCTCTCCTCCCTCATCGGTGTTATTCTCTGTTCTAGCTGTCAACACCCTTAAGTCCCTGCTGTCACTCTTCCTGATGCCCTCATCTTTGTCACGTCCAACTCCCTTCCTTACATCTCCTTTTCCCTCATCTTCACTGCATACTTTCTTTATCTTGCTTTCCTAAGAGTCACCTTCCTAGGTAGGGCCTCCTTTCTGACCTGCCTACTTCCTCTCTCCACTATACCTCCCATGAAAATAGTCACCAAAAGCAACTTATCACAGAGATCAAATTATCACCTAAGAGGTTAGTAACAAAGACTTATGACATTGTCACAGTGGAGGTGGGGCCTTTCTTCACAACCCTGTGTCAGAGACAAGCTTACATCTGGCTACAATTTTAAGGAACAACCCCTCATCCCCCTGTGCTAAGGATGCAGAATTCAGAAGGGCAGCAGCTTCTGCAAATATCATTTTTATTAAACATTGCACTGTAAGTCAATTTTTATGACTACATCTGTGCCTTTATACTGGGACAAGAAATAACTTTATACTTATTTACATATAAAATCCTTTTTATTGTCTATTGTTATAAACTACCTGAGGAAGAGTGGCCTAGTTAAAACTAAAGGTGAAGGCTGCTAAAATTTCACCTAGACACTTCAATACATATTTCATTGTAATATATAATGAAGATGAGAGAAAAGTTGTAATTAGTTAACACCTATCTGATGTCAATCATTGTGCTAAATTTTTTTTGCATACAAAGAGGCTAATAATAAGATTGAAACTGCATGATTTGATAGCTCCTCCTGCCTAATTCCATTTTAACAACCCCTATTGATATACCTTTATAGAATCAAGAAGGACTTGAGATCAGAGTTCTTTTAGCTAGGATTTGGAAATCGTGAACTTTTTTTTTCATGATAATAGTGATGTTTCACAAGCAGAATTTTAATTCTCTAAAACCAACAACGTGATATAATAGTCGTCTTCACACGGACACACAGGCATGCACACCCCCGAACCAAGGTGGCTCCCACGGTCACAGTAAGTGGAGGGCAGGCCTTTATCGTGCTGCTTTCGGGACTAATGAATTGGAAAACTCCTCCGAGGTCATGGCTGTCAGAGCTAGAAGCCTATGTAGGTGGCTTAGTGCAGCAAGCCCAGCTCTCCCATATGCTGGAATGTGGTCTCCAGCCACTTGCCCTCTTCCTACCCCAAGTCGTAAGCACACACAGACCACCCCCCACCATCTCACTTTCAGTTCTGCAGGCTGAGGTTGAACCCTGGGCTTCAGCCTAAAGGGCAGAGAATCTCTTTACAGCCTGTGTGGGGAAGGGGATGCTTGGGCTCTGATCTCGGGTGGGCGTGAGCAACCTTCAGTTCCAACATTGCATATTACCACCAGTGAGAGCCAATATCAATCTTTGTCTCTCAGCAATGGCAAAGTCTAAATGCCTACTGACAGCAGACTTCCACCCCTATCAACACAGCTCTGGCTGCATCATTAGTGGGGATCACTTCCCAGCATCACGTGAGGAGCAGCTGGTCTGTGTTGGTCTGTTTCAGGAAGGGGAGGTGGATGCCCAGTGGCATCATAAAAGCACTGCCCCCAATTTATTTGGATGCAGTGTCTCCTTCTGCTGGGAAGACGGCACAGGGTTGCCAATTGTTCCTTCAATATATGTGTACCTAAAGAAGATAATGTGCCAAGTCCATGGCAGTCGTTTCTGTTGCTCTGGCTCATGGTGTCACTGTCCTCCTTTCAGCATGTGGCATGAACGTACATCACCGATGCCAGACAAAGGTGGCCAACCTATGTGGCATAAACCAGAAGCTAATGGCTGAAGCACTGGCAATGATTGAGAGCACGCAACAGGTCGGTGACAAGTTCCTGCAATTTCAACTCAGCAAGGACTACTCCAGTCCCTTTGCTCTTTGATCTGCAGCAACTGTGTGGGTCAACAAGGAGTCTCTTTCTGAGCACTTGCCTTTCCCTTTTCATCTGCATGCCCATGCCCTTCCCTTTGAGATAATTTATTTAATGCATTTGTATTGTATGGATCTTTATAAGATCTTAAATCCATAGAATGATCAGGGACAGAAACAAATTCATTAAAATTATTGAGGGTTCACTGCCAACTTTATATCCATATACTAGGGCTATTTAATAGCCTGGGGGGAACGCTTCTATGTTAGAATCATCCCTAGAATGACCTCAGAGCACTGAGTCCAGGGCAGCTTGTGCCTTGCCACTGACTAGCATGCCGAATTTGCATATCCAAGAACTAACCCTCTTTAGGACTTGGCGGTGCTGTTCCTCTACCCATTGACCTTCCATTCTTATTTGTAACAGAATGATGCGCACAGCATGAGAGAAACCAGTTAGCCTCCAGAAAAGTATGAGAGAGTGAATAGATTCTGCTGATGCATAAAATCCAATAGACAGACTCTCACAAAATATAGAATCCAAAGAGGGCTGAGGGAAAGAACTTTGGTTATCTTACGCATTTAGGGGTCTTAAATGGTTTTCATCCCTAAGGATGTCACAGGCTGAGCTGTCACATCAGAGGTGGGTGATCTGACTCTTTGTTTGTAATCTAGGCTCGCTGCTTAAGAGATACTGAACAGATCTTCAGAGAAGGTCCCGTTGAAATTGGTCCCCCATGCTCCATAAAAGGTGAAGCAAGGCTGCCATATGTACTGGCATCGGGGAAACGAGGTAGTTATCCTGATCCCCACAGAATCAATGTCAGTAGTTTATCTTGATTAACCTTAACCTCTTCTATATAAATTCTCCATTTACCTGGTCTGATAGATGATTCTTTTCTACTTAAAGATTTCAGACCTAAAATAAACTGAGGAATAAAATAGAAACAGAGGCATGAATCTATGGAACAGACTGACAGCTGTTGGAGGTGGGGGGGACTGTATAAAAGAAGGCGAAGGGATATATATATATAAAACACACAGGCACACACAGACAACAGTATGGCAACAGCCAGAGGAAAAGTCGGGGGGGAGGGGCAGGGTAGGTGGAAATGAGCTAAGATGGGATGGGAAATGGGGGTGAAAAGAGACATTGCTGGGGTGATAGGTGCGCAGCGCAGTGTACAGATGATGTTGAGTTGTACACTTGAAACCTGTATGGCTTTGTGAACCAATGTCACCCCAATAATTTCTATGTTTAAAAAAGATTACAGACCTAACCACCATCCGTGAGGCTCCTACTTTTTAGAAGTGAAACCAGCACTTGCCCCATTAGGAAACCCTTTTAAGTGGGTAGGAGGTTTGGAGCAGGGAGAAGAAAATGGGATAGGTCTGGAAAAAACAACTGTAAAGTTTTCCTTAGACTTTTAGAATGTTTCTTCCTGCCACTGTTAAATGGTTTTACAGAAATAAACCCACCATAACACTCAGTGGTGGGAATACCACAGAACCATCGTATTCTGCACCTTTGAGACTGTTCTGGGCAGTGTAAGAATAGGAAGGGCAAGAAGAGCAGTGCCCAATGTCCTGTGCACATGAAGCGATGGAAGTTTATCCAGCCTTCGGTCTGACGGTCGATCATGAGAGGGTATGAGCACTTGACTCTGAAACCTGAAGAGTTTCAGCGTACATTAAAAAAATACTCATTGCCCTTGGACTTAGGGAAACTATGGAAGATAAACCTAGAGACAGAAAAATAAATGTCATTATTCCCACCACAAAACAAAGAAAAGAAATAATAATTCCATGATTTGGTAGTGACGCTATTGCTACAATGGCAATCATATCACAGTATGTATCACATCAACACACTGTACATCTTAAGTGAACACAATGTGATAGGTCAAATATTTTCGATAAAAAAGAAAAAAAATGATATGCAGGGGAGGAGGAAAGACAGAAATGTTTCTCTACACCCTCTCTGACATGGGGTGAGAAATAAATCAACTTAAAATTTTTTCAAGAAAGGTTTGGATTATATCTGGGGAGGGAGTCCAGGCAGAGAAGCAGACTGTGTCTCAGAGATGACCGAAGTAGGCAGTAGGAAGACTTTGACAAATGATGCGATTTGGATGTTTAGAGGTCTGCTATCCATTTTCTCATCCCTCCCCTGATAAGTCGTAGAAATTGATGCCACTGTGCCTGTGAGCCACACAAGCAATGAAGAATCATTTTTCCTCAAATTTGTATAAAAATCCCTATTTGTCCTTGATTTGACATTTACTAAAAGTGCTCATCTGTGTTGCATATATGGGCTTTTGCTGATTGGATTGTTTCTAGACTTAAAATTTCCCCTAATCCATTGGATAGATAAAGCAGCCCAGCCTGTGCCCCAGTGCCAGGCTCACGGGCAGGATGTGCCGCTCATGCCCACCAGGGAGCCCTGTCTGCATCATTGCAGATGGATCTGGAAGGGGAAGTGGACAAGGAAGCATGTTCTGCAAGTAGCTAGAATGACCCTCTGTTGTTACCTGTTTCCTTTTAACCACTGTTTGCTATTTTCAGAGCCTCAGGGAATCTCCTGGGAGTCTCCCTTGGATGAGATGGAGAAAATGTGCCATCGTCCAGAACCTGCGCTGAACGTAGAAAGACCATCTCTCCATATGAAATTAAAAATTGAGGATTTTATCTTGCACAAAATGTTGGGGAAAGGAAGTTTTGGCAAGGTATGATACCATATAGAATACAACATCAAATTCCAAAAATTGAACAGCAAAGCTCCTGGTCAGTGGAACTAAAGTCTTGGGATCAGAACCGTGGGTGGGTGTTCAGAGAGTGTGTTCCTGAGCATTTTGTGACAGAGTTCAGATGTCTGAATAGACAGGGACCCAGGGGCTCTAAGGAATGGCAGCCTCTGCTTCCTGGAAATCATTGTTCCCAAGCCATTTTGCTTCAAAGTGCCCATCCCCCAAACTTATGAGTTTGATATTTTTGGACACCTCAGAAACAAGAAAGTGCTTCAGCCTGTTCATAATTCACACCAGGTTTTTGTTTGGTTAGTGTTTTGTTGTCATTGTTTTGCTCCTTTCTCAAACCTGGAGTGTTGTTTTACTTCTTATGTGATTCTTTTTCTTTTGCAAATGTCCCCAGCCTTATATTAGTTGGCGAGGACTACTATAACAAAATACCATAGACGGGGCTGCTTCAACAGTTTCTCACAATTCTGGAAGCTGAAGTCCCAGATCAAGGGGTCAGCAGGGTCGTTTCTCCTAAGGACTCTCTCCACGGCCTATAGGTGCCTCTTCTCCCTGTGTCCTCTTGCAGTCACTCCTGTGTGCGTGTCTCATCTCCTCTTCTTATATGGACAATAGTCATATTGGATTAGGGCCCAATTCAGTGGCCTCCTTTTAAGTTAATCACTTCTGTAATGACCCTGTCTCCACATACAATGACATTCCGAGGTCTTGGGGGTTAGGACTTCAACATATGAGTTTTTTGGAAGGGACGCAATTCCCCCGATGACACAGCTGTATCCTGAGAATCCTGGGAAAAGCTTCATGGAGAAAGTCCCTCCTCTAAATCCTCCCTGCTGCACATTCCTGTCATGGGCTATCTCTTCCAGTCACAGAGGACAAGGAGAGGAAGAAGACATAATTTAAGAAATTACAATCAATTATCGATGATGGGAGAATATTTACAAACCAGTGGTTGTAAAGAGGAATGAAACGGAATATAGGATTTTAGGTTTTTCCAATATTAAGGATATCTAATGTATTAATGGCACTCTCAGTTGTTTCATATTCTTGGATGTGACACCTATGAAAATTTTAACCAGAGACTGCTTATGCTCAGCACCTGCTCACCAGACTTTGGCTGAAAAACTTATCCAGTTTATTTAATAATAAACAAACTAAAATGCAACTGATTGTTTTCACAGCTGAATGCCATCATGCTATAATTGGGGTTTGGACTTAAACAGCAGTGCTTCACCTTTGACAATATTTACTCTGCCCTGCAAACTGTAGCTGATATCCATTAATTCATTTAGTTCGTTTCCACAATAATATGAACCACAGCAGGCCCATTTGGCATTAATCTGAGTGTAATAGGCAATTTTACAGCCAGGCTCCATTGTAATTTAGCATCAATTAACATGCAATCATAACCTTTTACCAAAAATTGAAAGCACATTATAGAGATGTGCTTTTTTTTTTTTTTACCTTTTCAGCTCCTTACTTTATGGCTAGTTTTGGGATGTTTTTCTGAATGAAGCAGTTACCAAAAGAGTACTTTGAATTGTTAATGAAATGCTTACCTTTCTTTATTCCTGTGTGCATTGCTTCACTGGAACACGGTTAATAAGGAAGAAGTGAAGTTGAACCCATAAGTCTTAGTGACTATCCAGAACAAATGAGAGCTTCAGGTGTCCTCTGCTTGTGCCTGGCCATCAGCACCCGGGGCGCCTATGCTCTGAGAGGACTGTGGGGCCCACAGAGAGAATGACGAAGCACCAAAGCCATGGGACAGCCCATTTCCTTTGCTCCCAAAACTGAGAATACTCCCAAACTGTTCCTCTTGCTCTTTGCTCTTCATAGGAAATATGGCTCCTCACCAAAACGGTAGCCTCTATATCCTTGTTCTATATCTACTTTTAGGCCCAAGAGAACAAATGGCATGTTTTCTGGGGCTATACACCGTAGTCATTTGCCTGAATTCTCATTTAAACTCTTTCCACTCTATCAAGCCAGCTACCTCATAGCTATGTATCTGCGCTCTATTATTTTATACATGGACACATGCATTTACACTACTGGTTTAGCATCATTGACTTCAAGACTCCCTAAAAGTCAATAAAAGAAACAAATGACAGGTATTCTTAGTCACTGTCATTTAGAGAGCATTTCGTAGCTCTCAGCTCACTTTCCCACGTGGCATCCCATCGGATTTTCACAGTGGTCCTGTGAGTGAGAGAATGTGGTGACAGTTCTCTCTTTTACACATTAGGAAACCAAAGCTCAGAGAGGTTAACTCACTTGCCCACATTCCCACAGCTAGTAAATGTCTGTGAAATGAGACCTGAGCTGGAGTGTTCTGTCTCCAAATGCCATGTCCTTGCAACTGTTAGTCGTCTGTGGCTGCATCACTTGCAAAGATGAAAGTTGTAGAAACTCTCCGTTAGGTACCATCTGGTGTCCTTTCATGTGAAATTGATGAAATCAAGAGGAAAAAGTAAACTTTGGAGTTAGATTTTCCACTGAGTAGCCCCATTTTGAATTTGAGAAACTTAAGTTATTCTTTGAAGCTCCTTTTTTTTTTTTATTCCTGTCTGTCTTGCAGAGTGTTTTCAGCTAAGAATTAAAAGATAATAAAAGGATGTAGCTCATGGAAAGTACAAAGCAGAATGCCTGATACATAGTAGGTCCTGAAACTGCGATGAGGTCTGTGCCATCAGATAAGATGGTGTGCATTCTTTTTCCCCCTTTTTTTAAATCCTCACCCAAGGATTTTAAAATATGTTTATAAATACTTTAAAATATGTTTACTGATTTAGAGAACGAGGAAGGGGGGAAGAGAGAAAGAGAAACATCGATGGAAAAGAAATATTGATCTATTGCCTCCCATATGTGCCCTGTCTGGGGATCGAACCCACAACATTTTGGTGTATAGGATGATGCTCCAAGCAACTGAGTCATCCAACCAGGGTGATAGTGTGCACTCTGTAAGCAAGTTAGGAGAGCTCTATGCCTCAAAGATTCTTTTTTTGCCTTAAAAAACTGGGTAAAACTTGGAGAAGGTTTTGTGCTCATTTGCAGTGATGTTTCAAATACAATCAGGCCTGCCTCTCTGCTTCTGGCTTCTGCTTCCATCGATACACATTTGTCTCTGGATTTTAATTATAAACGTGCTCAGGTCCCAGGGCAGACAGGGCATACTTTTTTTAATAGAATTTTTCAGGAACTGAGAATAACCCATCCAATGGCACAGTAGTTTTGGGAAACCCTTTGAAAGATACAAAGAGAGTATGAAACTGGTTAGGTGGCATCCTAAACCAGTGATGCACTCTGTACACAGACAAAAGGGGCCTGAGAAGGAAGCCTCTTTTCTCACTCAACACATCTCTCTCAGACTTGTCCCTTCTTTAATGAGTGTGAATCCAAATTCTAAAATAAAATTACTTCTTCCCCTTCCTTATAGGTCTTCCTAGCAGAGTTCAAGAAAACCAATCAATTTTTTGCAATAAAAGCCCTGAAGAAAGACGTGGTTTTGATGGATGACGATGTTGAGTGCACAATGGTAGAGAAGAGAGTTCTCTCCTTGGCCTGGGAGCACCCGTTCCTAACACACATGTTCTGTACGTTCCAGACTAAGGTATGGCTTCTGTGCAGACAAACGTTGCTCTGCCTGCCCCTAGTAAATGTGCCTGTCCCAGCACAGTACCCCTGGTGGCACCCTCATTGTGAGATGTGGGGTCTAGTCTGCATATTTTTCTTTTTTATATCTCAGTCCACCTTCTGCCCATCCACACAGGTTTCTTCTCCTCTAAATACCATTGAAATATTACTTAGAATTTTTTCAGTGTCGTGAGCTGGGAAAGGGCTTTACTTCTGGATTTGTTGGTCTGTTTGCTTGTTTTTTTATAATTTGATTTAACTTATATAATGACTGGGATTTGTACCAGTTTGTGACTTGTTGGACAAAGCAGTGCTTTGTGAGGGAAAAAAAAATGTGACACCTGTTTGTTCACCTACATACATTTATTTGAAGAGACAAAAATGGGAAAAGAAATCAAAAGGCATGTGCCCTGGTATCTGCCTTCCTAAGGCCCACAGAGCAGCTGTCTGTACAGGGGGCTTTATCAGGGAGCCCAGACCCAAGTGCTGAGGGAAAGGGTGAATTTTGTCGGGAGTCAAAATTTACCCTATTGTCAGGGAAGAGTCTCGTCCTGGTCTCCTTTCTCCTTAAAAAATTTTAATTACTTTTTTCCTGACTCAAAAGTTATCCAGGATCGTTTTTAGAAAATTTGGAAAATACACACTTAAAGAAGAAAATCATTTATAATCCTACCCCTTGGGTATACTCACCATTAATACTTTGTAGCTTATTCCAGATTTCCCCCCAGTGAATTTTTTAAAATAAAAATAGCAACCTATTGTAAATATCAACTATTCTGTACCCCATATTTTTAACGCTGTATTTATACATCTCCTCACATCTGTGGATATTCTTCTACAGCATGATTTACCAAATTAGAACCGTTCTAACTTTCTATTCTGATTTAAATAACACCAAAATGAATATCCTTGTCCTTGTAGATCTCATGCACAAACATTATTTTTCTTTTTTCGTTTTTCTGCTCCCCTTCATTCTGACCCCCATTGTGCATAGCCTTAATAATAGTCAGACCCATGTGGTACCATGAGGTTAAGGCCCAAAGAACATGAAGTTTTTCTCTGTATTTCAAGCCTTGATGATAATGTACTACATTAGTGTGACCATGAGTGTAGAGGGCCTCTCGGCTGCCTCCAGCCACAGAAAGTGTTAGTTGGGAAACCGTGAATCAATCAGAAAATGTAAACGGCAACTAAGGCTTCCATCCCCGCTTCTCCAGCCCCCAGTCGGTACTCAACCAATATTTAATGAAAGAATAAATGAATAAATACACATAGCTAAAATAAAGAGAAACTAGGCCATGATAGAGCACTTACTAAATATACCATATTCAAAGCACTGTGGAGGATATGGAAATGCATAATACAGTTTCTGGCCTTGAGAAATTACAGAATTTCACCCTAAAGAAAGAGGCAAGAGTACTACTTCCAACAGTGTGGCTAATGTTACATTGCAGGATGCAGATTCTAAGCACCAGAGTTGAAATCCTAGAAACTGGAATGTGACGAGGTTGAGTTTGGGGCAGTAGACGTGTGGGAGCAACAGGAGAGAAAGCACAAAGGACAGAAGGGACCAGGAGAAGCTGCGTAAGAGAAAGCAGGCTTATTTTCTGCAGCAGGAAGGAGTTTGGAATTTCTGAGAATAAGTCAGAGGTATTTTCTACCAGAAACTTCCTCGTGGAGGTCATAAATATCCATTGGTCTGGGATGGTGTAGACATGTTACCGAAAGGCAAGTGCGGAACTTGGCCACGCTCTCCCAGCCTGTGTGCTGGGTTCGCTGGGCACCCTGGCGCTGTTTACAATCTCACTTTTCCTCTTTTGAGGCTTGTATAAACATAAAATGTGCTTCAGACCAGACTTCTAGGGGCATTACGTAATCAAGTGGAGCTTGGCACCTTTTCCCCACTGGGATTTTTTTTGTTGTTTTTTTGTTTGTTTTTTGACATTTGTATGTATGACTGTCTTCATATCATATGGGGAAAGCTGTTATCAATCTCACATTATTAGAACATAGCTACATTCCCTTCTCTGCTTATCTCTTAGGGATCAGGCTGTGCTCACTTCTTTCCCCACCATGGGAGGTGCGTGTGGGTCCCACGCAGCCGTGGTGTTTTTCTAAAACAGGGAAGTCAGTGCAGGAGAAAAAGTGGCAAAGGATGTGCACAAATGTCAAACATGACTGGCTCATGACTTAGATTTCAAGGCATTGAGTCATTTTAGAAATAAGGATGGGAGTGGAAAGCTTGCATTACATTTTCTGAAGGACTTGAGTTGCCTCTAAGGTGTCCTGATTTATTATTCAGATCTTGTAGGTCAAACAAAATAACTAGTTAAGTACCACAGGCGAGTGTATAAAGCAACAACTGATATGAATGATGATGATTTGCTCTGGGAACATTTTGAAAACGGCTTTTTTGAGGGGACAGTCTTCTTTGCATACTAGTGAAGACATTAGATAAGATGAATAACTATTTACTTTTCTAGGGAATTGTGGTTTTAGAAAAAGTTACTCATTTGCTTTCTGCCTCCAAACAACCTACCTGTTGAATGCCAGATTATTTAGAAGATTGTGAGGACAAGATCCCTTTGTAATTTGTCAGGATCTGTGGGTTAAATCATTAAAGGCTTTTAAAATTCATATATGAGGTACATATGACCTGTTGAAGTGTGAAAATATGGTAAAGTCATTTAGGAAGCTACGAAGAGTGAAAATAGCTGTGGACTGAGCTTCTGAAGAACTTGAGTCTCAGCTCAACCACCCGTCAGTGGGACTCTGGGGCTCGTCCTCCCCAGCACTGGACAGGGAGTTAAAATCACCACACAGAAGAGCTGAGGGCTGGAAGCTGCATCCCGTGTGTGAAGGCACAGTGCTTGGAACGTAGGTGTGTAAGACAGTGTCAGTTAAATCTGAACCTGAGTAAGGCTCAAAAGGAAAGAATCTTTGAAATGAATTCATTTTCTCAGTGCTATATCAATCAGTATAACTTCATTCAGGCTGCGACATAAACCACTGGCATCAGAGTCTAGTACAAATCACCATGATGAAAGGTTGTTGTCTTAACAGGAGGAGAAAATGACTTTTTATTCTTTTCTTTATTTTATACTAGCACTTATAATTTTTTTAATATTTTATTTTCTGTGTCTCACATGAAAGTCCCTATGTCTTGAATTGTACAGTCCCTCTTAATACCAAATTCAGTATGTATGTCAGCTAAGTCTTGCATATATATGCATATATATATATATATATATGGATTTCAAGCCTATATGCTCAGTACCTATTTTCCACTTATTTACATTTTAAAACAGTAGAAATAAGGAAAATCCACAAAAAGAATAATTGTCATAAATTTTCCACTGTACTAATAAGTAAAATAAAAATTATTAGAAACAAATTCATCATATAACCTTGAAAATATATTTCACAAATTATTTTAGAAGCTCATTGTTAATTTAACAAATTATTCTTGGGGACCTACTGTTTATAAGTTCCATATGCTCCCCCAAAACAGGCAAGACTAGAAAACTGCCTGGGGATAAAACTGCAAAACTATTTCCTTTTCCTAATTCTAATTAGTAAATAAATTTTTAAAGTCTTACCTAACTTAGAAAAATAATGTTCTGTGTCATTTATTTTTAAGATACCACTAATAACTAGATGCACTATCACTTTTCTTCATAAAGTTATTTTTAAAATTGTATTAGGAACTATCTCCCAGTTTCAGAACTGTCTAAATGTGAAATAACATGTGTTGATTAGAAATTGCATTGGCTGCTAGTAATGAGAACAGAAAATAATGATGACTTAAAGGAGATGGAAGTGTTTATCTCTTCATATAAAAGGAGCGAGACGTGTGGTTCAGAGCAGGTATGGCAGTTCCATGGTGTCATTCATCAGAGATCCTGGCACAGTCTGCTCCCTGTTCCATCATCCACAGCACTGGGCTTCCATCCCCAAGAGTACTCCTCAGCCCACTATGGCTGTTGGAGCTCAGCCCTCACAACCACATTCCAGTCAAGAAGCAGGAGGAAGAGGGAGAGAATAAAGCAAGACCACGCCAGCTCTCTTTTCTTTATTAAATCTCTTTTCCATAAGGCCCACGAAAAACTTCTGCTCACATACCTCTGACCCTTCTATGGCTACAGGGAAAGCTAGAAAACTTTGGTTTTCAGCAATAGGCACTTTGCATCCAGAATAAAATGTTCTACTAAGAAGGAAAGGTAGGCAACCAGCTATCTCTGTTCCAACATATATTTTAAAATACAGAAAAATATGATTTTAAAAGCCTGCCTTTACTGAAGCCTATTTTGTGCCCGATAGTTTCCTAGGAACTTTAAGATACTTTAAATATTATCTCATTTAATTCTCTTAAACCCAGTGAAGTCAATATGTTTATTCTTATTTCACCCATGAGAAAACTGAGACTAAGGATAATGAACTTGGCCTAAAACCATTCACCTGGTAACTGGGAACAGTGTTACAATTTTACCATGTGTGTCTGTGCCCAGATATTGGCCTCCTATACATTTAGACCATGGAAGTATCATAGTGACATGTCATCACTGTAGTAACTAAATGTTGGCCTTCAGGGAAGACAAAACACTGAGAAAAATAATTTTCCTCTCTTTTTAATTATGCTAGAGTAAAAGAAAGATCAATAATTGAAGTACCCTGCCGTGGCCAATGTGGCTCAGTTGGTTGGGTGTCACTCGGCAAAGCAAAAGGTCACCAGTTTAATTCCTGGTCAGGGCACATGCCTGGGCTGCGGGTTCAGTGCCTACCCCTACCCTATCAGGGCACATAGGAGAGGCAACCAATCAGTGTTTCTTTCTCACATGGATGTTTCTCTCCCTCTCTTTCTCCATCCCTTCCTCTCTCTCTAAATAAATAAATAAAAGTTTTTAAATAATTAAGTATTTAAAGTTTCTCGGACTTATCTCTGATAGCACTATGGAAAAATAAGTAGGTTTAGTTCCA